ATATTTTTACGACAAATGTAACAAAGTTGTATTTGAAAAGATCAGAAATTTTCAACCAATTCATTGAAGATATTGAGTGAGAAACATGATCGTACCTTCTTAAATTGTTTATGTAACGACTACATGAGTTTTGAATTTTTTGCAGTCTGTATTTTGTGATTTCATCCAGACAGGGATAATAAACTATGTTGCAGTAAGCGATTTTACTGAGTATGAGTGACTCGCATAACATTTCTTAATTTTTCTATTTAAAACAGTTTTACTTGCATATAGAAGCCTGAGTCTAAAATAACTAGACTTACACACATAGCCAACATGCTCCTGAAATCTGAAATCTTCATCCAAGTACCAACCTAAATTTTTTGCAGAATGGGAAAATATTAGGATACTATTATTTATTGATAAATTTAACTTTGATTTGAGGAAAAGTACGTTTTTTCTTGGAGCAAAAAAGTATAGCTGTCGATTTCGATGCGTTTAGACGTAAATTATGTTTTTCAGCATATGTGCATAAGTATTGCAGATCTTGATTGATAAGGTTGTTAGCTAAATGGTAGTTGTTCGGACAGAAATTATGAAAAACCTGCATATCATCAGCATATGATTGACTAGAACAATGTTGAAGGGTGTTGGAAATGTCAAAGGTGTATATAAGGAATAAAAGTGGACCTAATATGGATCCCTGAGGCACGCCGGAACAAATCGGCCTTTTGTCTGAAAGTTTATTTTGTATGACGACATATTGATGTCGTTCATTTAAATAGCAATCTATCCATTCCAGAACCAAGTCGTCACACCCAATGTATTTACATTTAGAAACTAACAGCTTATGATTCAGGGTGTCAAAGCCTTGCTGAAATCCAATAAGACTAATGCAGTTGCTTCTTGCCTATCCGCCGCTGTTACTTAGTACATCGTCACAAACCCGTGCCAAAGCGGTAGTGGTACTGTGACCCTTTCTAAAGCCTGATTGATTTAATGGCAAAATGCTGCGTTCGAGTAAATACTCATTCAACTGCATATAGACTATTTTTTCTAGAATTTTTGATAGAGCTGACAGCAAGCTAATAGGTCGGAGATCACCAGGAACCTGGGGATTGGGAATCTTTGGAAGAGGTTGCACTAATGTTTCCTTCCAAGCACTTGGAAAAACACCGCGCTCTAAACAACAATTTATTAAGTGCAAAATGTATATTCCTACAGCAGGTAGACACAATTTAATCATCTCAATGGTAATGCCATCAATACCACTAGAATTGGACTTGATACTACGAATAGCATCCAATACTGTAGATATATCGACAAGACGGAACTGAAAATGAAAATCTTGCTTTAATTTGTTATGGCTATAAAATTCGATAGTTTCCGAGCAATCATCGTCACTTTTCTGGAATATACTGGTAAAATAGTTATTTATTTCATTGGGAACTGCTAAGTCATCCGGAATGTCAGTATTACTAGAATCCTGAATTCTAAATGACTTAAGAGCTTTATAAAGAGCTGCAGAGTTTCTTTGTCGAGATAGATGTTGAAGGTAGCCTGATTTCTCTGCACGTGTAGCAGTTTTGGTAAAATTTCTCAGTTCATTGTAATGATTTCGATTCGCATCCATTCGAGACCGTCTATATTTATGAAAAGCCTTATCTCGTTCTTTCATTATCATTTTCAAATTGTTTGTGAGCCATGGTGCACGAGGCTTAGACACTCTCACTGTTTTTAGTGGTGCATGTATGTCAAAAAGTCCTACAATGTTATCGGAAATAAATTTTACTTTCTCATCGATATTAGCCATATAAATAACTTCAGCCCAATTAACGCTAAATAAGTCATCGTCAAAAGAGGTTAGATCAAAATTGCGATAGTCTCTAAATGTAATTAGTCTAGGTGGTGGTTTATTGTTTTACACGAAATGTGACAGAATACAGCCTGATGATCACTAAAGTTAACAGTGAAAGTTCCCACTTTGGAACATCTTTGTGCACAGTTGAAGAAAATCGGATCTAAAAGCGTTGAAGAATGATCAATTATTCGAGTTGGTTCATTCAATAACTGGTGCAGGCTATAAGATTGAAAGCACTGATTAATCTTATTATCAATAAAGAAATTAACGTTGAGGTCACCAAGTACCAAGATGCATTCATTCGACGGTGCTAAGATGGACAACGTATTATCTAATATGCTTACTGCAACATCCAAACTTCCCCGAGGCGGTCTATAAATAACACCAACTACAATACATTTACGGCCAATACGAACCTTGAGCCAAAGCATTTCTAGAGAAGTACGATCATATTCCTCAAACGATAGAATTTCTGATGAAAAACGATTTTTGACATAACAGCCAACCCCACCTCCGCGACTACCACGATCACGACGATAGAAGTTATAACCAGAAATATCTACTGAATTTGTTGGAATATCTGAAGACAGCCATGTTTCTGTAACAGCCACTACATCGAGATCCATATCATTAACCATGAAAGAAAGGTCCGCCATTGAAGGAAGAATTGATCTGGTATTAGAGTGAACAAATTTAATAATGTCAGCCATAGTTAATTCTACTTCTCAAATTATCAAAATGGCTTTTAAAAACAGTACAACAGCTAGAGTAAGACGCGTGATCAGTTGGTAGACCTTTCTTACTGGTTTTGTTAACATTAAGACAATTTATGCATTGGAAAACAGATGATTTACAATCTTTAGCTTTATGATTTTGGGAGCATTTTGGACATACAACACTAGATTTGCAGCTTATATCGGTATGACCATAACCACAACACTTAGAACACTTCAAAACACGTAATATGATCACTAACAGGCGATTTCTTCCATCCGCTGAACAGGAAACTTTTCTCTAACAAGATATTCCTAAGGTCAGGAGATACTTCTATGACGATATTTGTGCTCTCGTAATGCTTAAGTTTGGTAACGAATTTTATGTCAGACTGATGCGTGTCATCAATATTGTTTAAGGCTACAATATTATTGATTATCGATTCGGGCGAATCCAGACCGTCCAGGTTAACGTTTATTTAATGCTAGTCTACAGAAAAACTCAATTCAAAAATAGTATGTTTTCTCAAAATAATTCAAGAAACCACAATAATAGAGGCGTTTCTAGCCCCACTCTTCAATTTTCAATTATTTATTTATTTGATCAACAGGTCTCAACTTCGTTAAAAGGGCGAGGCTTGTGATCTAAGGATTGTAGAGGTGCGTAAGGGCCCGCTTAAGCGGCCTATGCACTGGCTCCTTATGGTGGCCGGAATGCCTCTAATTTCATTCATTCAACCAAAGGACAATACAAAATTTCAAAAGAAAAAAGTGACAGATCAATGGCGATTTATAAAACGTAACATATCATATGCACAATTGATAGTTTTTTCAATAAATACGTTAAATATGATAATTTTGAGTTAAAATAGCTCCCAAGTCCTTAATCTGGTATGTGGTTTGCAAAGATCTACCGTTGATGCTATACTCGTAAGAATAAGTAATAGAATAACGGCACGGGTATCACGTATCTTGAAAAGTGACATTATGCCGATTTGTTTTGACATTATGCTGGTTTTTTCTGACATTATGTAGGTTTTTCTACAAGATATTAACTTAGCACTTAGTTTTACGTGTTGCCTAAACGTCATGAGGCTTGTTATCAATCTTTGGATCTGATGTGATGTAACATCTGCTTCTAAGCTGTAAGTTGTATATGTTAATGATAATTAAATTGGGTTCTTGTCTCAAATACACTTAATTGAGATTCAAAGTTAGAAATAAGTTGCGCATCTACTTTTTCTTATCCATTCTGGAAATTACATATACAAACTTGCTGAATTTCAAAAATCAGAGAGATGAGAAATAATTATATTCACTGTACACTGTCGAATTACAAGCCATATACATGCTAACAGTAATTACACACAACGCGGGCGCGGTGATGATTTCCCGTAATTCTTGTAAGTCGTAGATCATTAATAAATATATTAATAACAAAAGACTTAAGTGGGAACCCTGCGGGTCTCCAGAATTGGCGAAATTCGGCGCGATAACAAGTGTTTCACTTCTTTTTTGTTTTTTTAGTTCCGTCTACCAAAAAACTCAAAATTAACCAGAAAGTTTCTAACGATAACAAATCGATTCCACCTGGCAACACTGCTTGCAGCACATGACAGATACCTAATTAAAGATGTAGTAGTTATCCACTGTAAAGCTTCACAGCCGTTTTGATGATTTGCTTGCTGTCGTTTGCATTACTTATAAGGCCCGGCGCATATTGAACCCATGCCACGCGTAGCACACGCACAGCCCACGCGTGGGTGATTTGTAAAACACTGTTGTAGACGAACTGACGCATATTGCACCCATCCCACGCCTAGCACAGTCCCAGCCTATTCCCACGTGGTTTGATTTGTGCGAGCAACACAGTTTCGTGGAATCGTGGGTCACTTTGTTTACGTTTTTCAATTCAAAATGGAGAAATTGATCGAACTCGTTCGGGAGAATCCTGTGTTGTATGACACTTCACATGAGGATTATATGAGAACACAATTAAAAATTAGTTGTGGGAGAAGATAGCCAGAGATTTAAATTATACAAGTGGTGAGTAATTTTGAAATATGTATATTTTGGGTTATAAGAACGAACACGTGAGTATGCACTTCTTCGAGTACTCATCGTAAGTACATATTTATTTTTTTTAATAATAATAATAATTAATAATACTTTTCACTTTTGTATGTATATATATATATATATCCTAAAATTGTCCTCTTTCTATCGCTCTTCGTTGCCATTCAACAGATCCATCTGCAGAATTGAAACACTCAGTAAACTTCTGCCTAATATAAATGCTTCAGTAGAATTGCGAGTTCGGTTTAGTGCTAAAGGAATGAAATGATTTCATGAGAATTAGTCAACACTTCATCATTTTCTTCCTGGCCAGTGGCAATCGAGAGAATCTTAGTTTCTCAAATAATTATGAAGCACAATTGTGGCTAGCACTATTTATCGATGGTATCCAATTTACATTCAAATGGTCTCTTGTACACCCGGAATCTAGCTGCTAATATACCGAAGCCACTTTCTACTGTTTGTCTAGCCAGAGATAGTCTATAATTAAAAACCTTGTTTTGATAACTACCAGCAACTCTCGCTTTAGGATATGGACGCATTAAATTTCTCATTAGCGGGAACGCTTCGTCTCCAACAAATACATATGGAGTTGGTGTATTTTGTCCAGGTAAAGGCTTTGGTTCTGGCAAATCCAGTGAACCGTTGTATAACATTTTTCCTAAAGGAGAATTGGCAAAAATATTTCCGTCACTAAACCGACTCATAGAACCTACATTCACAGAAGTAAAACGATAATTTGCATCGACAGTCGCCATTAAAACAACAGAAAAATATTGGTTTGTAGTTGAAGAAAGAAGAGCCACTCAGAAGTGGTTTTCGAATGGCGACATGCTTCCCATCGACAGCTCCTAAACAGTTATAAAACTGCCATTTTTCTTTCATACTCTAATGCAATGTTCTTCCAAATTTCCACCGTTGGTTCGGGCATATAAATGGGCTGTAAACGTCGCCATATCGCTTCACAGACCTGACAAACAATGTTCGATACGGTTCTCTGTCCCATTCTATAGCTCAGTCCCTATAGTTTTATACATGTCACCAGTGGCCAAATACCTGAAAAAAAATCTACTTTAAGGCTGAAAAAACGAAGAAAGATCAGATGCCATTTTTATTGTTTATCAATTTATTGTTTATTCTGTTTACAGGCAAGGATGCTAAAGAACAATGGCGGAAGCTAAGAGAGTGTCATCGTGAAGCTATCCGAAGGCAACAAAAGAAAAGTGGACAACAAACAACCACTACGAACCATGGACCTATCAAAAACAAATGGAGTTTTTAAAACCATACATGAAAAACAGACTCACTGCTGGATGTCCCAGCACCTCAGCTCCTGATGACAGCCAGGTAGAAGAAGAAGATGTACTCTCTGCTGATCCACCAAGTGTTCAATCAAATTTTGATACAGATCAATCCATGGATACACCCACTTCAAAAAAGCGAAAAAATCTGGTGATCCTCTATTGAGAAAATACATCGAAGATGGTGAGAAAAGAGCTAAGAGTCTGGAAGAATTACGTCAAAAACTAATAGCTCAATCTCAGCAGAAGCAGTGTTACAAAATGATGCTCTACATCTTTTTTTTATGTCAATGTACAATGTAACAAAAAATCTTCCTACCAAATTTCAAAGGCAAGTCAGAAGAAAAGTTTTTGATGTCGTCTCACAAGCAGAAGATGATGCTGAGCAAGAGATAGAATCAGAGAATTCATTCATCAACCTCCAGTACTAGTGGACTATCTGTGGTGACACAACAATACCCTGAATTATTTACTCTACATCAGAATCCATCATTGATTCGTCCTGTAGAAGCAAATGAAGAGGATCTAGAAACAAACATTGGGGAAGAAGAAGATAATTTACCAAGAGCATTCCTTACTTTGTAAATGCATAATTTATATCTTGATAACATAAAATATTTTCTGAATAAAATTACCTTAGACATACGGCTACTTTTTCTTCACTTCCAATAGGTTTTGTGCATTGCACTCTTTACCCGTAATATCGTTCTTTATCAATTCATGGATTTCGTTGAACTGTGTTCTGTTCACTCTAAATGTCTCTTTGAACATGCTGTCTGGAACTTCTCTAGATAAGTTGAACTCTCCATGACTTTGTCTTTTTCGCAGATACGCATTTTTCTCGCTTTTTGTTCTTCTTCGATTAAATAGATACATTAAAATAGATCTTTCCTCGTCTTCCGACTCAGACTCTAGATCGAGGAGCTGACAGATATTCGCTGCCATCGTGGAAGTGGACTGGACATGGGATGGGTTCAATATGCGCTTCCGAACGCGAAACATGGGCTAGGCTGGGTCTGTACGTAACGTGTACGTGCGTGTGCTACGCGTGGCATGGGTTCAATATGCGCCGGGCCTAAATTCCAACCAATGACGACGCAGAACGAATAGCGGTACCGGCGTACTACACGCTGCGTGCTAACAAGCGTCGGTTCAGTGTTCAGTCTTCAGTTGTCGGTTGGCGTTTGGGGAGCGTGGTGCGCCGAGCCCTCCATACAACGCGCTGCTTCTGTTCCACTCGTCGTGTGTCGGCGATTTTCCGCAATGTCGTCGTGTCGCGATGGTGTTGTGAGTGATTTTGTGGTAATTGTGTGTGAAAATATGTTGTGGTTGTTCATCAAAGGCGAGTGGAGTATCTTCACGTTGGATATGAGCATTTTTCTGATCCTCCTGAGCTGAATGTATTTACAGCAGACTAGGTAAATTTTAAGCATAGTCATATACTTCTGTGTTAGCTTTGAGCTCGTAATGTCAAGCTTATTTTGTTGTGGTCAAAAGTCATTAGCAATTTGTCTCTAAAGTTAAACGTTTTCACGTTAGAAACGATTAAGGTTCTGAGAAACCTATCGATCTTCAATAATTTAAAACGCGGGTTAAAATTATCATCTATAGTCCAATACCAGAATTGATGACAGTAGCAGAAGTCATCGTGCGCCACTGCTTTGACGTTGTACCTTTTGATTACAGCGACGTTAACCGACATTTGATAAAGAAGCGGCGCATTTTCGAAGGCCTCCGCGTAATAGCAGCGCGTACGATGAGTTTCGCTACTGGCATCAATTTTGGTATTTTACTATAGTTGCCCTGTGTCTAAGTTAAATTTCGCACCTTTTTCCTTCAAAACTTCGAGGAGTATTTTAAGATTAGTATATCTTAAAGTATTATTACTTAATTGTTAGCAACGCGAGGTGATAATGCGTATTCCAATGCGCGTTATTATTACTATTAACAATGAAATAGCAGCATTTCGAAAATACCCCAAGTAGGAGAAGGTTTGAAGTTTAATTGAGTAACATTTTTAGGGTTTTTCAGACATTCTATCGCTTATAACTCGAAAACGACCCTTCTGGAGCGAAACTGTTTTTATTCACAATGATCCAAATAATCTAAAAACACGGGCCAAAAAGTTTTTTTTGTAGTTTGTAATTGTTTACACTTTGCAGCGAGTTACCTGATGATTCATTCAAAAATCGAGATGGAAAATTTATCCCACAAATTTTTTCGCCTCGTCTATAGTAAATGTAAATACATAGCAAGTAGCGCAGTATCATGTACAAAAACTTGCAATAAAGAGAGATTAATCCACGTAAATACCGATTGTATTACGTGTTCATATTCTGTCTCTCGTATATAAAGTTGTTTACAATTTTTTGTAAAAAATAAATGCCTCCATATCGATATTTTTAAGAGGATGAATTTTGAAGATTTGCCATCCATTGCACTATATCCATGTTGTATCTGAGCTTGCATCCACTACGTAGCAGCAAAAGTGTGAACTGAAGAAAGGGAGTTCTTTGGCAAAGTCCTATAGGCCGATAAATAAATACTTCAATCGTATTATGTCCCAGAATAACACGCCAGAGTGACATGTGAGCATTGGCTTCAGATCTATCAGAGAAAATCAACATGATGTAAACGTTTTCTATTTTTGGAGATATTGCCACTTTCAAGTCTTTCTTATGACACGTTTGTAGCACTAAATACAAGGAGCAGTACTAAAAAAGAGCATTACACATTGAAACAAAAGGTAACATTTTTTTTTAGCATACCGTGCTAGTTTTCAATGAAATGAATACTCTGTTATCTCAACCGATTATTTCTGGTAGCTCAGGAAAAAATCATAAGTTCTTTATAGCCATAACAGGTAAAAAGATAGCAAAAAATAGTGATGAAAAAACAAAGTGTCAATATTTCGAAAACTAGAAAACTTGAACTAAGGTCATGTTGATTTTACTTGATTGATCTGAAGCCAATCTACCTTCCATGTCACTCTGATGTGTTATTTCTGGGACACCCTGTATTTGTGTTCTCACACGATTGTGGTTATATCACGGAAGATCTGCTTTAGTAGACCTTATGCGATATTAGGATAATTAGTAAACAGTAGTAAAAATGAGTATGTAATAAAAACTAAGCTACAAAAACCCAAAAGTATTTTTTTCCTTATGGAACTACCTGTCTTTATAATTTATACTGTTAAACAATAAAAATATAGCTTTCTGTAAGATTGTCGCTAAATAGTGGTTTCTGAAATATTTGGAAAAGCTCCGTAAGGACAAGGATACAAATGCAGGAAAATAAAGTGATTATTTATTGTCTTACGACAATTTTTCGTCATATTTTGATAATATATTGGCAGTGGCTCATCGTTGGTAACTACGACCTCTACGGACGTGCAAGGGGTATTTTCCATGTGCGTGCGAACCAGTTTTAATAAAATGTGCTAATATATTATACCGAACTATTTTATTTATACAGGGTGTCCCAGAAATAACATGCCACAGTGACACGGGAGGTAGATCAATGAGATAAAATCAACATGACCTTAGAGAAAGCCTAGTTTTCGACATATCTCCACTTTTAAGTTTTTTCAAAAAAATCTGTACTATTTGCTTCTACTCATGTTTCTACTTGTTCCAGGGACTAGAGCAGCTTGCTGAAATGTAAGTGCATTTAGGGTTTTCTTATTGGTGTCGGGTTTACAGGTGACTACGAAAGAGAGCTCTGTGAGGTTGTAAAACCTACTGGTTGACGACTCTTCAACGAAATACCCTCGGCCAGACAGGATGCCTCATTTAGATAGTAAAGAATCACTAAGAAAAGCCGTCAGTTCAGTAGAAAAGTCAGGAAAAGTAATAATAAAACGCTATCACACAATTGGAAACTTTGAAAGTAGAGAGAATCGGAAGAATGATATAAAACGTACGCTTGAGAAACTCCAAATAAGTGGTCGGTAGTAGCGAGCAGCTACGGAAATGTTAGGGAATTTTTTTTGGGCACTCTGCCATGTGGGGGCACAGCGAGGAATACAGACAACATGCCCTTGCTCATTTGTGCAGGGGCACATCGAGTGGATGCAGATGCCCTTGCGCATGCGGGGGTACATTCGAGGTAAATGTGTTTTCATCAATAGGACTTCTGTGTAATATATTTTGACAATTTATCGACATTTTTTTTTCGAGACGTGCAAGCGATATTTCCCATGCGCGTGCGAACCAGGTTTTATAACAGGAGTCAATATATTAAAGCGAACTATTTTATGTATATTCATTTGTTTAACCAGATATTCGAAAACATGAGTACAATACAATGGAAGCAATTAAACTACGAAAATAATACCAGCGTAACTTTAGATA